ATTATTCCGACACAAACTGATCCGAAACAGTTTAATCGTTTTATGAAATGCTCAACTCAAGGTTTAATTGTTAATTTGTCGTTAAATTTCCATGTCATTCTTGAAAACAAGGTAAAAAAAATTTGAATAGTCGACAAATTGTTTAATTTTTATTAATTTATTAAATTTGTCTTCATAACTCATTTACTAATACATTGAGTTATTAAACATCAAATTTGAAGTAATACAAACGATTATTAATACAACAAATTTATTTTAGATTTAATATTGCTCCGAGCATGATTTAACACAGGGAATTTCCACTGATACGATGACTCTGCTTTGATGGACAGTGGTCAAAGTTTTATTGGTTTTGTTCAAAATTTACTTATTAGGAATGGAAAACGAACATTCGAGAATCAGGAAAATGTGGATAAAAACAAGAAGCAATGTCTATAAATTATGTTGAAAAAATTTCAAAACGAAACAATTTCTAAAACATACTGCGTTAATGAGTGAAATTAACCGATGCATCCAGAACTAATGTGACCAGAAATGGGTATGGAATTGGACGATTTCATCTGTAGATTCGGTTAAGAAAATCCATCAAAGGAAATATCGGATGATGGCAAAACGGAAAAATGTCGCAGGCATAATGGGTAGTGCATTTTGCCACTCTTATTAAAATCTTTAAAATTTAAACAATAAATTTTAAATCATATTTGCATGAATCCTTTTTTTTTGAATTCAATGTACATATATGTTAATAAATTATTAAATTTGGACATAATTGAATATAAATTATTAAACTTGAATAGAGTACAATATTGAATATAAATATAATTTAAATTACATTATTTGAAGTTTTCTAGGCAACGATTCTTTTAGCAGAGCAATTTAAAATACAAATCGAATTATTTTAATTATTAATGAGCAGTTGTATTTTCCATCAATTCGCTTGTTTAATGCTTAAAATTTTTATGCTTATTTTATTCACTCATTGATTTTCTTATTTTGCTAAAAAATTTTTATTCATAAATTGGAATTTTGTTTTATTTTTACTGCCATTGTTTATCAAACAAGAACAGATAAATCCACATACGTTACTACTTTTTATGACTTATCCAAATTAAAGTTTGATCAATCTTCGAGAAAGAACCTAAAGAGAACATTCTTCTGCAATAAGAAAAGCTCTCCATAACAACTTAGCACATACTTTGATGGGTAATTGATATTATTCTATATTTAATTTATTTATACCTATTATTGTACAAATACGATATTATAAAAGAACAATAAATCTGTTAGTGACGTTCTGCAGTTATGATAGCAGCAAAATCATTTACGTAGTACTTAAAAAACTTTCTTGATACTAATTGGAGAATATAGAGAAGTAAAAAAAAAATTTGAATAATTTGGCTAACAACTGAAGAATAACAATCCACAATATGTTTAATCTTTGTTATTCATTTTTGTTTTAAAATAAATTTGCAAATAATCTGATTCTAATGTTTTCCTTTTTTTTTTCGTTTGATATACCTTTTTCCGACTTCTTTTATTAACAGCCTGATCTTCTCAATACATTTAAATGTGATTTTAATCATCTTTAATCATTTGCACATTTACAGTTTCCTAATTCCATTTCATCAAGTTAACAGTATTTGCCATCAATAACAACGGTTTTTCTTCCAAAATAAATAATCCTCCATTTTCCATTGTGTCACAATTCGTCAATGTTGCTGCAATCATTCTATTAAAATAATTATTCAAATTCATTGCTTTCTTAATAAGAAGAAGCCAGCGAATGGAACTAAAAGGATTTATCAAATTAAATCTCCTTGAAATCACTTAAAAGATAGTGTCTAAGTTAATTGTTTGCGAATGAACATACATTCCTCTACTTGTGTTGTCGCCATTAGTAAGTCATCATCCCACATCTTATCAGTTTTATAGTCTGTGATAGCATCAGCGACTGAAATTGGTGCTAGAAATTATTTGATTAAACTTATAGGCGAGGAGGAAATATTTGAGATTTAAATGTGAGTCGCTGGCATTCGAATTGAAATCACTTTCTCTTTCCGTTTTATCAAAAATCTTGAATAAAGCGGTTTAAATGATGTAGAGTAAAAGATATAAAGATTATAATTTTACTTGAAAGGAGATGCATACCTATTCCTGCAGCCATTGCTTGCATATTTTGTAGCTGCATACCTCCGCAACAGATGACGAAAGCAAGACACACTATCAACTTTGCCATTTTCGTAGTTTTATCGCCACTTTGATATTTGCTAAAGTGCAGATTCCACCTTATTAATATTTTTTATCGATCAGCTACGATATCATTTCAATACGATCTGATCTGAACCGCTTTCGATCATCGAATGAATGATTTTATTTTAAAATTTCATTCATTTCAACAATTTTAGCATGAATAAATTTACTGCATTACAATGGCATTTAACATAAAGCTAAGGGAATTGCTATTCGGAAAGTTACTTCAGTGACTACTAGCGGATTTCAATTTCATACCTCATTCTAATACAGTGAATTTGTTTTTAAATGCCAAATAATTTTTGTATTTATGTCAGGAGAGATCAAGATTTAGCGAACAAAATATTTAATGATAGATACAGTACCCACGAGTAGCTTCATAAAGTTTGAAAAAAAATGAATTACGAACATTGAAGATTTACAAACTGCGCTTTTTATACTTTGCGATCCTGTGCATAACCAGTTTAATATTGCAGGTGTCACTCTCTTTTGAATAGAAGAAAGAAAAATGAAGGACTGAATATGACCGGAAAAAAGGAAAACGAACTTCTAACCATTAATTTGTTTTGTTCTCCAGCGATTACAATCTATCAGTAATCTTTTATCATAAATTGAACAAAAATAACTATTTGCTCTAAATATTTAATTTTAAATATCCGAAATCAAACTTTCTTCTCTGAAATATCTTCAAGTGAAATTTTGAAAATAAATTCTGAGCTATTCTTATCCAATATTACAAGATTTTTATAATTCCACCGCAAATTTGAAATCTATTTATTTTATTATGGAATATACGCAAAAATCATCATTAAAACTGATCAATTAATAAATTACAGCAATAATTTGACCCTTATTGTATTATAGTTTAATCTTCTTTGTTCTTAGTTGTTGAAATCAATAAATGAGTCAAAATAAGTGATAAATATTGAGCAAATTCATTTTCATTACTTAAATGCGTGGAAATCATTATTTATTTCATTTGTATTTCTTTGGAAAGCTTTTCACTGATAGAAATAATATCCAAATTTATTTTCTTAAATATTGAAAAAAGTGGGAATAGTGAAGCCAACTAATGGCTGAAGACCTAAAAACAACACTCTTTAAACTTCAATAGAGGAATTCCTGAGTAGAACCTGTGTGATATCTGTAGATGTATTCAAACTACCTATGGTTTTTCTGTACCAATTTTTGTATTTCTCGAATCCACTAGAAGAAGGACAAGGTGTAAATTGAATCGAATAAGTGATGAGATTTATGACCACACGTTATTTTGTTCGCCAACGGTTATCACAATTTATCAGTAATCTTTTATTATAAATTATGATGAATAACTGGTTTCAGAAAATATTTAACCTTTAAATGCCTAAAATCAAGTTTTTTCTCTGAAATCTTTGCAATTTGAATTTTATAATTTGGACACGCAGAATTTTTTGCATATTTGATATAGAAAGAATATATATTTTTTATATAAGGATAATAGCACTTATAATCAGGTATTTTTTTCCAAAAAAAAATAACTTGGTGATCGTTTTGTTATGACTGGATCAAACGCTTTCAAGAGAACTTGAAAGCAATGCATAATCAAATTGTGAATCTTCAGAAAGTTTATTTCATTTGTATTTCTTTGGAAAACTTTTCATTGATGGAAATAATATCCAAAAGCAATTTCTTAAATATTAAATAAAAGGTGGGGAATAGTGGAACCAACTAATGGTTGGAGACCTAAAAACAGCACTTTTTATACTTCAAAAGCGGAATTCCTGAGTAGAACCTGTCTGATATCTATAGATGTATTCAAACTACCTATGTTTTTGCTGTAATTTTTACATTTCTCGAATTTAGTGGAAGAAAAAAGAGATAGATTGAGTCAGATAAAACAAATTTTTAATCACCAAGTCGTTTTTTTCGAATAAAAACTTGATTTTAAGTTATTTTATTCTTCTGGAACGGTCACGATTTATCAATAATTCTTTGTTATAAATTATAGAAATTTATTAAATAGCAGAGCTTATATCTATAATTCAGTACAGTTCTACTATGTTAACAAATAACATGTACATTGCTAAGTGTGTTGAATATTGTTCCCAATTTTATTGTTAAGACTTTCCAATCTGACCGCTCTTTCTTCAATAAACCAAATCGATTTGCAATGTCGAATTGTTCCAGAAGCCTTTTGATCTAACTGTCGCCAATGTCCACTATACGAAAAGTTAGATCACTCGCTCCTTGGAGTATTGTGAGATTCGACTCGATGATTTACTCCGGCTTACGCTCACTCAGTTCAGTTCATTTCAGTTAAAAGGCAATAGCGCAGTAATAGAAATTACGTGTAGAGAGAAAGTACGTCATGGCATCACGCATTTGACGGACTATTGATATTATTCTATATTTAATTTATTCCTTACTGTTATTGCACAAATACGATATTGCAAAAAACAATGAAGCTGTTAGTGGACGTTCTGTATTTACAGCAATATATAGGTACTACTTTGTTGACGCTAACTGGAGAATATAGGGAAATAGTGAAAATATGAAAGAAAAACGTTAATTTAGAAGCTATTGTCATTCATTTTTGTTGTAAGCAAATTTTCAAATCAAAGCAAAATTTTCAAAAATTCAACATTTTATCAGTTCTAGTTTTCGTTTGGTATTCCTTTTTCGGATTTCCTTTATTAACAACTCGATGTTTTCAATTTACTGAAATGTGACCGTCAGTCACTTGCATATTTACATTCTCTAATTTCATTTCATCAGGTTAGCGTCATCAATAACAACGGTTTTTCTTCCAAAACGAATAATCTTCCATCTTCCATTGTGTCACAATTCATCATTGTTGCTGCAATCATTGTATTGAAATAATTATAAATCCATTTTTTCATTAAAAAAAGAAAGCCAGAAAATGGAACTATAAGAAATTATCAAAGTAAATCTTCTTGAAATCATTCAAAATTAAATAATGCCTAAATTAATTTTTTGTGAAATGAACATACATTCTTCCACTTGTGTTGTCGCTATTAGTAAGTCATCATCCCACAATATTTCAGCTTTATAACCTGTGATAACATCAGCGATTGAAATTGGTGCTAGAGATTATTTGATTAAAATTACATAAAAGATGGAAACCCCAGAGACTTGAAATGATAATATGTTGTTTCTATTACAAAGACGAATGTCAGTGATATTCGAATTGAAATCGAATAGTTCATGTTTTATCAAAAATCTGACTAAAATGGTTAAAATGATATATAATGCGATGTAAATACTGAGATTTTTATTTTACTTAAAAAGTGATGCATACCTACTACTGCTCCCATTCCTTGCTGATTTTGTTGCCGATTACAAAAGATAATAAAAGCAAGATATACTACCAATTTTGTCATTTTTCAAGTTTGGTTTATTGCAACTTTGATATTTGTTAAAAAATTCACTTTACTGAAATTTTTTAATGAAACAGCTACGGAATTATTCCGACACAAACTGATCCGAAACAGTTTAATCGTTTTATGAAATGCTCAACTCAAGGTTTAATTGTTAATTTGTCGTTAAATTTCCATGTCATTCTTGAAAACAAGGTAAAAAAAAATTTGAATAGTCGACAAATTGTTTAATTTTTATTAATTTATTAAATTTGTCTTCATAACTCATTTACTAATACATTGAGTTATTAAACAGCAAATTTGAAGTAATACAAACGATTATTAATACAACAAATTTATTTTAGATTTAATATTGCTCCGAGCATGATTTAACACAGGGAATTTCCACTGATAGAAATAATATCCAATAGTATTTCCTTAAATATAAAAAAAAGTGGAGAATAGTGGAACCAACTAATGGTTGGAGACCTAAAAACAGCACTTTTTATACTTCAAAAGCGGAATTCCTGAGTAGAACCTGTCTGATATCTGTTAGATGTATTCAAACTATCTATGTTTTTGCTGTGATTTTTTAATTTTTCGAATTCAGTGGAAGAAAAAAAGGATAGATTGAATCGAATAAGTAGTCAAAAAAAAAAAACGGATTTCTCGAAAAAAAACTTGGTTTCATGTTATTTTATTCAGCAGCACTTATCACAATTTATCAGTAATCTTTTATTACAAATTGTAGAAAGTAATTTTTTTTCAAAAATACTTAACTTTCAAATGTTTGAAATCAAATTTTTTGCGCTGGAATCCCTGCAGTGTAATTTTTATAAAATAAGCATGTTGATCAGTAACTCATCCGAGATTAGTCAAACGATGGTTCATATCAGCGTTTTCAAATGAAAAAAATTATCATAGAAAGAAAAAAAGATTATCATAAAAATTACTCCTTCATATAAACGAAATTTTTCATCTTTGATTATATTTTAATGTTTTCATTCTAGATACAACTTATTTCAAATGAATATCTCCATATATGTTATTATTTTGGCTTATCTTGGCTTCATTTTTGGAAAAAAACAAATTGCTGAAAAAAAAACCAATGTTATCAATGAAAGCGAAACTGCTACAATTAAATGAAGTATAAATTTTCTAATATTTCTTATTTTTCATAAAAAAGTTAAATGTTTTCAGAAACTAGTTAATGATTATAATTTCTAATAAAAGACTGATAAATGCTGGTGAATGAAATTAAATGAAATTAAGTTTTTTTTTTTCGAGAAATCCGTTTTTTCTTTTTGATTACTTATCCGATTCAATCTATCCTTTTTTTTCTTTCACTGAATTATGCAAAAATTACAGCAAAAACACAAGTGGTTTGAATGCATCTACAGATATCAGACAGGTTCTATTCAGGAATTCCGCTTTTGAAATATAAAAAGTGCTGTTTTTAGGTCTTCAACCATTAGTTGGTTCCACTATTTCCCACTTTTTTCAATATTTAAGAAAATAGTTTTAGATATTCTTTCTATCCACGGAAATTTCCTGTGTTAAATAATGCTCGGAGCAATATAAAATTTAAAATGACTGAATTAGGTGTATTAATAATTCTTGTTTTATTCGATTGAAATAAATTTGTTAAATTAGAAACAAGCGCAAAGTTTTATACGGTTACAATTAACATGAACAATACAAACATTCGTTAGCTGAATCACTTTAAGTCTTCCATATAACTACAAAATCAAGAATGATATTAAAATTGAAATACAAATGATCAGTTAAGCCTAACTGAGCATTTTCTAAGGCGGTTAAAACTTTTAGGTGTATCGAAATAATATCATAGTTAAAATTGGAATGCATCAATAAAATCTGCAATTTAGGAAATATTGAAGTTGCACTAAAACTAATTTGAAATATGTCAAAGCTAATAGCGTGTCTTGCTTTAATCATATACTGTGGTAATCAGCAACAAAATGCAATGCGAGCAAGAGGAGCAGTAGGTATGGATCTCTCTTTAACTAAAACAAAATCTCGATATATATATGTACATATATATACCGTATCATTGAAGCCATTTTGGTCAAGATTTCTCATACAAGAGGAAAGTGATTTCAATTCGAATTGGTACTCTGTAATGGAAACTGAGCTGTCACATTATCATTTCAAATCAACAAGGTTTAAAACTTTTCAGCAGTTTTAATCAAATCTCTTTTTTTTTAGCCGCTCAGGCTGTCACAGATTATAAAGCTGAAAAGTTGTGGGATGATGAGTTACTAATGGCGAAAACACAAATAGAAGAATGTATGTTCATTTCACAAAAAATTAATTTAGGCATTATTTAATTTTGAATGATTTCAAGAAGATTTACTTTGATAATTTCTTATAGTTCCATTTTCTGGCTTTCTTTTTTTAATGAAAAAATGGATTTATAATTATTTCAATACAATGATTGCAGCAACAATGATGAATTGTGACACAATGGAAGATGGAAGATTATTCGTTTTGGAAGAAAAACCGTTGTTATTGATAACAAACACTGCTAACCTGATGAAATGAAATTAGGAAACTGTAAATGTGTAATGTGCAAGTGACTGACGATCACATTTCAATAAATTGAGAACATCGAGTTGTTAACAAAGGAAATCCGAAAAAGGAAAACCAAACGAAAAAAGAGGAACACTAGAACTGATAAAATTAGATTTGAAAATTTGTTTACAACACAAAAGAATAACAACAGCTTCTAAATTAACGTTTTTCTTTCATATTTTCACTATTTCCCTATATTCTCCAGTTAGCGTCAACAAAGTAGTACCTATATATTGCTGTAAATACAGAACGCCCACTAACAGCTTCATTGTTTTTTGCAATATCGTATTTGTACAATAACAGTAAGGAATAAATTAAATATAGAATAATATCAATAGTCCGTCAAATGCGTGATGCCATGACGTACTTTCTCTCTACACGTAATTTCTACTACTGCGCTATTGCCTTTTGAACTCAAATAAACTGAACTGAATGAGCAAAAGCCAATCCAAGGAGTGAGTGATTTAACATTTCGTTTAGTGGACATTGGGCTTATGACAAAACGCGTGACAGTGAGTAAGGAGCTGTCATTATCGATTGAACGATCTTTACTCTTTACATAGTAGAAGTTCGCTCTTAACATTGCATATAATGTCAGTTGCTTATAAGTGTGACTGTCAGATCAAAAGACTTCTGGAACAATTCAATTCGTCATTGCAAATCGATTTGGTCTCTAACAAAAGACACACATGGAACGCGGAATTTTCAGTTCATTGCACAATCTCTCCCTCCCGGAGAGCTCTTGTTACTACAGAAGAATGTTCTCTTTGAGTTCTTTCTCGAAGTCTGGTCAAATACTTATTTTTCCTTGTATTCCAAGGATGTTTGACCAGTACTTAATAAGTTTCTCTTTGTTATTTGTTTTGTGTGATGAAAATTCTGCGGGGGTCATTGTCGTTAAAGACTGGAACATTGAGGGAAGCGTTAGGTGAAACGAAATCAGTTCAGCGTATGATTAAACAATCTTCAAAATTTACGTAAGTCAGTGGGCGTAATCTCTTTCTACTATTGAATGAACATTAGAGAATTCCTTTCATATGACTATGAATTCAACAAAATTATTTAGCACATCAAGTAGAATTCATTGGAATCGATTATGTTTGGTCCTAGTTTTATTAAAACTAAGCTTTGGCAATTACCAAATGATGGTGGCACTCTTCACATCGAAATTAGAATTAGTAGAAAATCTGTCGTCCGAAAATTTTTTGCACTTATTAAGCAGAATCGTTCAATTGGTTTTCATACCATTATGGAACGAAATGCACAACTAACAGAATTCTTAGCAAATAAAGAAATATTTTAAAAAAAGAAGCCATACCAAGAGTTTCATAGGATGATACAGTTTATGAAAGAATGATTGAAATAACCAAAAAGACAATGAGAAAAGCCATTGGTAGAAAGTTGTTATGAGAACATGAATTGATAACACTAATAGTAGAAAGAGATTACGTCCACTGACTTACGTAAATTTTGAAGATTGTTTAATCATGCGCTGTGATTTCATTTCACCTAACGCTTCCCTCAATGTTCCAATCTTTAACGACAATGACCCCCGCAGAATTTTCATCACACAAACCAAATAACAAAGAGAAACTTATTAAGTACTGATCAAACATCCTTGGAATACAAGGAAAAATAAGTATTTGACCAGACTTCAAGAAAGAACTCAAAGAGAACATTCTTCTGTAGTAACGAGAGCTCTCTGGAAGGGAGAGATTGTGCAATGAACTGAAAATTCCGCGTTCCGTGTGTGTCTTTTGTTAGAGACCAAATCGATTTGCAATGACGAATTGAATAGTTCCAGAAGTCTTTTGATCTGACAGTCACACTTATAAGCAACTGACATTGCATGCAATGTTAAGAGCGAACTTCTACTATGTAAAGAGTAAAGATCATTCAATCGATAATGACAGCTCCTTACTCACTGTCACGCATTTTGTCATAAGCCCAATGTTTTAAGGTTCGATTCGATTCTATTTGGCTTTTGCGCACACAGTACTAGCAATTAGTGCAGAACGAAAGTACGACAACTTAACACATACTTTGATGGACTATTGGTATAATTCTATATTTAAATTATTAATTTCTTCCTTTTCATTTTTGTTTTAAAATAAAATTGCAAATAATCTGGTTCTAATGTTTTCCCTTTTTTTTTTTCGTTTGATTTACCTTTTTCCGACTTCTTTTATTAACAGCTAGATCTTCTCAATATATTGAAATGTGATATTTAATCAATCTTTAATCACTTGCACATTGCACATTTACAGTTTCCTAATTCCATTTCATCAAGTTAACAGTATTTGCCATCAATAACAACGGTTTTTCTTTCAAAATAAATAATCCTCCATGTTCCATTGTGTCACAATTCGTCAATGTTGCTGCAATCGTTGTATAGAGATTTTCTCTTTTTTAAATTATTTTTTAGTTATTAAATAATTTTTTTAATTATTTAAATTCATACTTTCCTCAATAAAAAGAAGTCTACGAATCGAACTAAAAGGAATTGTCAAATTCATCTTAAATCATCTTGAAATCACTCAAAATTAAATAATGCCTAAGTTAATTCCTTATAAAATGAACATACATTCTTCTACTTGCGTTGTCTCCATTAATAAGTCATCATCCCATAACTTGTCAGCTCTATAATTTGTGACAATTTCAGCGGCTGAAATTGATGTTAGCGATTATTTGATTATAAGTAGAAACTTTTGAGATTTTAAATGATATACTCTTTTCATTGCAAAAGTGAATATCAGTGATTCATATTGAAATCGAACCCAGCCTGTTTTATTAGAAATCTAACTAAAGTGGTTAAAATGATGAGAATACGAGATATATATATTTCGAGATTTTCATTTTAGTCGAAAAGAGGTGCATACCTACTCCTCCTGGTCCTGCTGGCGCATTTTGTTGTCGATTAGCGCAAAAGATGATGAAAGCAGGATACACTATTAATCTTGCCATTTTTATTGCAATTTTGATATTTGCTAAAGTGCAGACTTCAATTTATTAATATATTTGATTGATCAACTACGAGATTATTTTGGCAAAATCCAATCCAAAACGATCTTACCGTTTTTATGAAATGCTCAACAGAAGGCTTAAATGATGATTTGTTTTTTAAATTTCATTCATTCTCGATTTTGACGCTATACAAAAAAGTTGAAATGATTTCATTAGCGATCATTTCTTTACACTATTATTCCTTTTGCATATAATCAAGCTGTTATGTTAGTCCGCTAGTGTTTGCAGTATGCATGAAACAACAGTAATTAAAAAAGAATTTAAATAATAAACAATTAATTGTTCAAGTTAACTGTCACTCTATCAAGCATTCCATTTGTTATTAATTTAACAGATTTTTTCCCATAACTCATTATGATTACAAAAAGAAGTAAATTTATTCTTGAATAGTACATTACTCTGAGTATGATTTAGCATTGAAATTATCACTGATAAAAGTAATACCTAAAAGTATTTTTTTAATTTTGAAGAAAAAATATGGAATGACTGGACTAAAGACAACACTTTTTATATTTCAATAGCAGAATTCCTGAATGGAAACCTGTCTGATATCTGTAGATGGATTCAAACTATGTTTTTGCCCCAATTTTACATCTCTCGAATTGATTGGAAGGAAAAAAAGAACAAATTGAATCGGATGAGAAATGAAATTTATGACCAACAAGTTATTTTGTTTTCCCAACGATTATCACAATTTATCAGTAATCTTTTGTTATAAATTATAAACAACAACTGTTTTTTGAAAATATTTAATTCTTAAATGCCTAAAATCAGATGTTATTTTTTCTAAATGTAATTTAAATTTCTTGCAAATTAAAGAAAAAATTCCTTGCAATTTAATTCTATAAAATAAATACGTGGAATTTTTTTTATAATTTAGGAAAGCAGTGCATGATTCATTTGAAATTAGTAGACAATTATTCACATCAGTTTTTTTAAATAAAAAATAAAACCAAAATCAAATCTCAAGTCTATAATGCATTTTCATGTTACCTTTACAAACATCAATTTCAACTAATAAATAATGGCAGTTCAAACTTTCAATTTCATTTCATCATTTTTTTTTTAAACAATTTTATTATCCGTATTAATTTTACAGTGAAAAAGTACATTTCGCCATACACATTTTATCACAAATTGACATCATTATGTTGACACAACTATTTCATCATCAGGGAAGTAAAATTCAGCTTCCCATCTCCCCACAAATTATTTAAATCTTTCAAACTTTTGACAGCAACATAACATCCACCAATTAGTATATATCTATATGAGTTTTAAATAATACTCATAAAAATTATTCATTCATATCCACAAAATTTTTCAATCTCGATTATATTTTAGTGTTTCAGATATAACTTATTTCAAATGAATCTATTAACGTGTGCTATCATTTTTATTTGTATTGGTTTCATTTTTGGAGAAAAAGAAACCGATGCTAATGATAAAATCATCACTGAGACCGAAACTGATGGAAGTAAAAATTTTCTATCATATAAAAATAATTTCATTCAATAATTTGTGTTTTATGTGAATAAACAATTTCAGTCAACATTTAATTTGTTAATTTTCGACGAAATTACAATATGCTGTAGTAATATCAATGATCTGCTTTATTACAGAATTAATTAAAAGTACATAAAATTTGATTATAGATTTGGGATGAATATTCAAATAAATCAAAATGTATTATTAAAATGGATTAAATCAAAGTCATTCTAAATTACATTATGCAGTTATTATTTATTACAGAAAAATGATCGAAAATATTGATAAAAAAATGAAATTTTAAGAATGTGAAGATAAATGGAAAGATTGCAGTCAGGTGATGCTACACGGTGATTGCTTTCGATTTCCGCATTATGCAGTAAGATTCTGCGCTAAATCTTGCAAAAAATGCAAATAACCAGGTAGATTTTTTTTTTTTGATCTGTAAAATTTGCTTA